TAATATCAAAGATACCTCATACCATATAACMAAAATAATTAAAAACATATCGTATAATATTAATACATAATTATTTAATTATATTTTTATCTGAATCAGATCATATATGAATAAATCAATATACAATTCATTAAAATTATTATTAGCACATTAGTTATCGTGAATTTGATTAAACAGATAACGATTATAAATACGGAACAATTGATGTTTGATAAAATTGTCAAAGTAAACATATATATATTTGTTTTAAAAATACTTTTCGATACGGAACAGTCAAAGTAAACGAATCGTATCGTGAGAAAGGCAAAAAAAAAAAAAAAATAGAAAAAAAAGAAATAGAAATGTGTAACAACGTACAATTCACCACCGTGCGATTTCTCGCGTTACAAAACGTTTGCGAACGATTTCTGACATATCAGCTATGTGTATTTTATTCAGATAAAATATTTCCAACCTCCCCTACCCACTTCTCATCCTTTCCGTGTAAATATAAAGTTACATACAATGTAACGAAAAATGATTTTCAAACGTATCTCTACGATCGAAATTTATCAATTTCTACACGATAGAAAATTAAACAAGATTTCAATTTTTTTCTTATTATATTTATCCTTCAACATTTCGATGAACAAACAAAATGCATCCTTTATCTCGCATGCACATTTATATATTATAATATATTTTTGTTTAAATTATATTAGTACAAAATATAACTACTTTGATCTTTGTATATTATCAATCATTTATCTTTTTTTTTTTCCTTCTAATTTTTTAATCGATGCAAATGTAAAAAAAAAAAGAATAATAAGAAGAAAAAAAATAATTATCAAACGAATTACGAGAGAAGGATTATAAAATTAAAATCCGATTGAAAGAAAAATCGGATTCGAAAGAATTGAAAATAAAAAAACAACGAAATGTCTGGAAATTCCTTATTACAGACACACACACATACATTTTTATATCGATGTTTCATAAAATATATTCTCGTGGCCTCCGGGAACTATGATTACAAGTCAGAATAATCTTGATTTATAAATAATTGGTGTACTATCGAATACGTTCATGCATGCATGCATGCATACATGCATGGTAGGCGTATCCTTAAAGAAGAAGAAGAAGAAGAAGAAAAGATAAAAACTAGTTTTACGATGCAACACTTTATTTTATTTTAAAGAAAAGAAAAGAAATGAAATTAAAATAAAAAAAGGAAACAAAATATACAACGATCTAATAATAAATAAAAGATAATATTATCTGAATCGTATATTATTTGTAAATCGTGAATTTACGGAAGGTAAAAACACCTGTTTCAAAGATAAATCGGCAAATTATTCTAACTTACAAGGATTGGCAAGGTATCAACACCAACAGGATGAGAGTATCCTTTTGAAATTCTTATCTGCTGAACGTTTTAAAAGGAAGAGAATACTTTTCCTTCCGAACTACGACGTGTTCTCAATTTTAAACTATAAGATAGAGAGAAGAATAAGAAGAAGAAGAAGAAGAATAAGAAGGGGATCGATTCGATATCGGGGATACGTGTTAAACGATAAAACAACTTGTAGTTTAAAAAAGAAGAAAAAAAAGAAAAGTGGAAAAAGATTTGTCTTTTTTTAGTTCGGTAGGATTCAAAAGATTATCTCGTTGAAGAAAGAGAAAGAGAATATGTTTAAATTCTTGTTAAAAAGTTTTTAAATTTATATTTCTTTTGGTGCGTTTAGGAAAACTAATGAGAATGAATTTGTACGATGCGCGCGCACAACGACACGAAAAATCGACACCACGAAGTTTGTCGTTATTTAAGATGCGCGGGAAAAAATAATTTCCAATTTTTTACCATCAAATTATTCGATATATTATCACATTTACATTTAACGTGAATTGATATCTATATTCTGATATTTTTATACACGCGACACGTGTTTCACATATATCGATACGAATAAAAATTATTTATGTGTGTTTGTGTGAAGTTATTTAATTATTACATACGGTGGTGATTGATATTAAAAAAAACCTTTGAATATCATCAAAAATATCTTCAATAACATTGATTATTCGTTAATATTGGTTTAATACAAATTTGTTTCGAGGTTAATTGAGTTATGTTTTATTATTAGGTTGGCAACTAAGTTAGTGCGGATTTGTTGGTTATATGAGATTATATTTCTTTTTTATTTTTATTTTTTTCCTTAATAAGAGTTCCCTCTCGTAATCGTATCTTTTTGTA